GCATGCCGGGGCCCCGGCTCCTCGCTGAGCCACATCCAAATCCCGCTCGAGCTGCTGGACGGTGGCCTGAGAATCTGTTGTTATTTTTATTTTCATTTATATTAAATAAGAGGCAGCTGGGGCCAGCGCGGTGATTTGTGAGACCCAAGTGAGACAGGACCATAAATCTCCCCGTCCACCACCCCGCCGGGGAGGCAGGGCCAGCCCAGCGGTGGGGGCCAGGATGGAGCCTGGCTCCAAATCCCAGCTTTGCTTTGCTTTGCTTGTGGGAGGCAGCTCCAAGAGCGGCTGCTTAAAAAAGGCAGCGAGTGTGGAGCAGGCGGGCTCGGAGCCGTGTGAGGATGCATGTCCTCGGGTGCCCTGGGGCTGCCATTCCTGCCACAGCAATTCGGTCCCCGTCCCCTCAGTGTGGGATGATGCGTTGTGCTGTTGGTTGTGTGACGGTTGATAAAAATCTTTGCTGTGCCCCCATGGCAGTTCTGGGCTCAGCCCTCAAAAGAGACCAGCACCCTTCCTTCAGGAAGGGCCCTACGGCAGGATGTTTGCAGGGTGAGGGGGGTGTCTGGCCATGAATTGGAAAAAAATGGGTATTTTGGGGGCATGGGGTGCCTAGCGCAGCCCAAAGAAGAGGCAGTAGCTCCCAGGGCGCAGTGCAAGTCGGGATGGGGAGCAGCGGTGCCCGTCCCAGCTTTTAGGACAGATTCCCTGGAACGGGGGAGAAGCTTTCCAAGGCGTCATTGTGGGACCCCACATCGCTCCCACCCTGCTCACCACCTCTTTGGCTCGTGGGGCTAATCCTCATCCCAAACTGCTGCTGAGCCAAGGTCTCAAGGATGCTCTGTTGCAAAGGGTTTTGCACTGGCCCGGACTGGTGTTACTGGGAGCAGTGCCGGCTCTCCTAAGGGCTGACTCCGTGACACCCCCGGGCTCCAGCAAACCCGGCCAGGGGGAACCGCTCCTGCGTTTGGGGAACCGGCGGAGGTGGTTGCTCAGAGCAGAACTTCCTAAGGAAACGCGGCTTAAGCAACCCAGCTAAAACGGGACAGGCAGCCAGGAGGGAGCAAAAAGAGAACCAGTTTTGGGGGGACAGCCAGGGGCAGAGGGGAGAAGGTTGGCATGAAGTTGCTGTAATTCCTACATTTTCTCTCTCCTGGTGGGGTCAGGCTCCGTTAGCAAGGGCCTGCTGTGAGCACGGCTGCGCGTACCCCCCCCGGCCATCGGCATCCCCTCGCTGCCTGCAGCACTGCCTCCAGCTCCCTGCCTGCACTCAGCCACGATGCTTGAGATTTTCTCTTTGAAAGCAAGCTTGGCAGGCAGATATTTATTTATTTACAATTACCCCAGCTTCGGTACCCCCAGCAGCAGGCATGGGATGCTCGCGGGGATGCGTGCCGATGCGTGGCCGTGCTGGCAAGACGTACGACACTGCCACCAGCGCAGAGAGACCCGGCGGTGGCCTTGGGGAGCAGCTCTGTCCTCTCTCTCTGCTCTTCTTTCTGCCGATGTGCCGAGATAAGGCGGTATCGCTGCTGGCACAGGCGTGCC